GAGAGAGAGAGAGAGAGACAGCGCGAGAGAGAGATACGATGAAGGGGAAAGGGAAAGCAGGCGAGAGAGCGAGAGCGAGAGAGAGGCAGCTAGCTCCCCTAATGACTGGCAGGTCCGGTTAGCCGAGAATGACAGACGCCTTTCACACACTTGACAGCCAGCTTTCAGCCGTGTGTACTTAACTTCAGCCTAAAGTGAGATTAAAGTGAAAATAACCACGAGGAGTCGTGCTGCGCGAGCGAGCTGTTTGTTCCTAATCGCAGATTTAGCGGACAGGCGCACAAGTTACTCTGTCTGTCGCCTGTCTCTTCGGGGCCCGATAAAGATAAACGAACTTATATGTGTTGAGACGGCACCACGGCTGGAACCCACAGACGCTGCCACATCGCATCGCCTGCATGCCTGTCTGTCTGCCTGTCTGCGCTGCTCTCACGACTCGCGCGCTCGTCTCTGGTAGGAGAAGGACGATAGGACCGTCTGCGACGATTAAAAAAAAACGTTCCTTGCGATATCGCGTTTTCTATCGCATTTCGCGCGCGAAAAAAAACTCGCTGGGAAAAAAACCCGCTCGAAGGTTCTTTTTATTGAAGCTTTACATTTCTAGCTTTCGGCTCTAATGGCGACATTGGCGACGTTATAATAGCAATAGCGGCGCACTACATCGAACAATGGCGGACATCACATCGAATTAAATTAGTGTACATAACACTGCGCACGGACTACAATTGTAGACATCACAACACAGTAAATTTGTTGACATACCAGATCACAACATACGCACTACATCGGTATCACCTGTGGGTTTTCGGACTAGTGGGCTTTCGGACTAGTGGGTTTTCGGACTAGTGTGCTTTCGGACTATTGGGCCGTCGGACTAGCGAGCAATCATAAGAATAGCTCGCTCTTGTCTCGTCGGCATTTCGATCGTCATTTATCATTCGACGCGCGCCGTGCGAGCGAGTTTTCTCGCTGTACTGACAAAATTCAATCTCGCTTATCTCGCAAGCCAATCTGTCAATGATTGTATGCCCCCTCCCCCTTTCTCCAGCCTATATAGAGGAGAACCTCAGAACACATCTTCAAGACGTAATGGAAACGCGTACAATACCCTG